TTCGTATTTGTTTGTTTTTAGTTATTTTTTTAAATATTTTAAATAGATTTTTTACTTTCTAGATACACAGAATTTAGATGCACCTAAAAAATAAAATATTTGTGAAAAAATATTTTAAAAATTCAATAAATACACATGAATACGAAAGTGAATTTTTATTTATTTATTTATTTTTTGTATTTGATGAATTTGTTAAAGATTTTTCCAGAAATATTATATTTTTTAAGTGCATCTAGGTTAGGTGTATTTAAAAAAAAAAATTTCTTCAAATATGAAATTTTTTTACTAAAAATAAAAAACAAGAAAAATAAAAAAAAAATCAATTTTTTGAAAAGTAAACTCATTTTTCGGAAACCAAACAAGGTGATTTTGCCTCTAAAAAATAATTTTCTTTTTAAAGTTTTATCTCTGAAACCCTAAACTATTATAATTATTTTTAAATAAATCAAAATCATAAATAAAATGTCATTTTTGCCCGTAACCCTTCCTTCCCAATTGTCATCGCCTTTCCTTCCTCTTTACCTCTACAGTGCAATGCAAGGGAACTTCTTCGTTCAATGCAAGTTACTTACACGTAGGATTGTAGAAAATGTCGTTTTATTTGTTAAAATTACATGGATTCACAACAATTTGTATCGCTCTATTCGCTAATTATGAATTAAACTTTAAAATTTATAATTCATTTTCGAAACCGCTTCATTCTACTATAGTTAATACATATATATTTTTGAACATTTTAATGAAATATCAAAGTAAAAATAAGTGTGAGAGAAATTTAAGATATGAAATTTATTACGAATCAATAGTTATATATATGAAACATATTATGTAAAATTAGTTTATGTTATATATATGAAAAATATTATGCAAATTAGTATTATATATTATGCGAATGTTGGATAATTGATTAGAATATTATTTAATCTGTCAATCCGTCGAAAACCACGCAAACCGTGATTTACCAATCCGCTAATCTGCCATTTAATTTGTAATTTTACTCTCAAACCATCTGAGTTACACCACGCACACTCTTACTCACACGTGAGTTCACACAAATGCATGCAATATCATTTTATTTTTTTTAAATAATCAGGTATCTAAATTAATTTGAGTGCACTTGACTCATCTCGGAATCAAAGTCAATAGTGACCCGTCAAGCTTGAGATAATTCCTTATGTATAGCTAGCCAAATACTGTGTTGAGAAACAAAAAAAATAATAGAGCACATTACAAAAAAAAAAAAAAAAAAAACTTCAAAGTTTCACATGTTAACTTTTTCAAATTAAATTCCAAAATTTTAATTTTATTAATTTTAATCCTAAATTTCTTATTTCATATTAATGTTAACCATCTATCCATCTCTATTAACTTGTTTGACAAAAAAAAGACAAATTACAAAAAAAAAATCAAGATTTTGCGTGTTGTTTAATTTAAACCTCAAGGTTTTAATTAAAACCCTAATATTACTTCCATGTCACAATATAACCCCTCCGTCCATCTCTGTTTGCTAAAGTAATGGAGACATCCATTTTTGGTGCCATTTCTGGACCAAAATGACGTTATTTTGTTTTAGCCCCACATAAAATGCCCAAATCGTCAATTAGGGTTCAATTTTGTCCTAGATTCTTCGATTTCGTCAATTAGGATGAAGGGGTTCTTGTGATTTTGAAGAAAATCGGGAGCAAGATTTGAAGTATTGGTGCATTACTGCTATTTGGAATATTGGTAAGTGTTTTATACGAATTTTTTGTTTGTTTGTTCTTGTAATTTGTGTATAGTGTTGTTTATCCTTCTTTTTTTTTTCTTTTTTTTTTGTAATTTGCCTAAAATAATAATAATAATATTGTATTTAGCTGCTAATATATTAAGAGTAATGTTATGAATGCAAATTTTTTTACCAAACACTCAAATAAGTCCAAGACACACACTCATGTGAGTGTTTGATAGAAATTTTATTAAAAAATTTAAAATATCTAACATTTTTTATATGTTAATGGGTATATTAAGACATTATCTCAAAGGTACACAATAATTTTTTATATATGTCGAAACCAATTCTCAACATTTATTGAGAACCCTAGTGAAATGTTCCAAACTAGGCCAGTCAATCGATCAGATTAATCTGAATTCAAAAATGATCTCATTAAGACAAATTTGATATGAAATCATCGAATTGTGAGTATTTTATTCAAAACTCCAGCCGACCCAATTTATTATAATATTCTACTTTTTATTCAAATTTCACCTTATTTTTTTTAATAAAAAAAAGTTATGGAGAGAAAAACTAGTATGTTAGATTTAGTTAAGTTTGTTTCATACATGGGTACCAATTTTTGTAATACTATAGGTTATTAGATTTAAGATTAAAAAAAGAGAAATATTTGGGACAATCTTTTTTGGAGATTCCATGACCCTCAATTTGATCTTGGCCCTTGATGGGTGTGTGGGATCCACTTATATATGAGTGGGCCTCACATTATGAGTGGTTGGGATGAGAGTGAGAATTGTGGAGGTCATATATGTGTGGAGATCTCACCTATTATTTTTAAAATATAATAGTCCTATATATAGATATAAAATTAAAGAATAAAAATCAAATCGGATCAAGTCAAATTTAACCGAAACTAGTAATATTTGGATCAATTGGATTATTGGATATTTGTTAATTAAATTCTAAAGGTTTATACTAAATGAACTTGAAATGGCATTTATAAGGTGGATCGTGAGGAGGGGATGCTACATTTTTTTCAGTTAAGTGGTCAGAGTGTCCGGACTAATTTTGTGCACTAGTAATTCCTTTCCAGTCTGATTAATGGCATGCAATCCGGAATTAGCGAATTCACAAAGAACTATTTTTTCGCGACATAGCCCCAACAATCGAACCCTCAGTAATTGTATGGGAACACACTCACCAATTGAGATTTCACATAAGTATTGCTATTACTACCCTATCAATTATTTTGGACTTCCATTTTTAAACTTTTTTTGATTACAATAATAACCTCAATGAAATTACTAAAAAGAACATCAATAATTTTGTGACAATCCATCTCACAATTAAATTCATACACTCACTACATCATGAGCTAGGATTTATGAGAGTACTCACCTACATCACTACCCATCTATCTTTCCCAAATCCCACCTTCAAAACTTACCTACCCTTAAAACCTTGAAAACTTTTTAGCGGTAATATTGCAGCGGTAATGATGACAATCATTTGATTACCTATACTTCTCCGGCAATGACAACGAGTGAAATTTTTTTCGACAATCACAACTCTATGAGACGAGAGTACAACAATAGAAGTTCAGAATTGATTCATAACTTTGATGGTACTCTTAGCTCAGAGGAGATTGATTTTGTAAGAGTAAGTTTCTTAAAAAAATGACAAAAATAATAAAAAATTGTTTGTTATTTTTTCAGGACTGAACTCTCGAACATATGACTGAAATTCGAGAACACAGGCCTGAACATTATTCATTTATTAGGGAACAAGTAACTGAACATTTTTTATTTGTTCGGGAATAAATAACTGAAACTCATGGAGATCGTAGAACTCACAAAAGGGCAATTTTGAATCAACAATAAATAAATAAAAAAAAAACCCCTATATTTATTTTCTTAGATCATAAACAAGTATGTGGAGATAAAATTGTAATCACTTTCGTGAGTTTTGTTAGGATTTTGGAAAAAGAAGCTTTTTGGGATGTGGAGGTGTACAATCAATTGAATGGATGAAATGTTTTCATAAGGAAAATTTTGATATTATTTGAGAGGAGAAAAAAAATTGAGTGGTACTATTAGCACCTCATAAATTATTTTGCACCCCCATTTCTTTGGACCCCCATTTATAAATTTTAAAACCCTTAAAAAAAAAAAATTCTCCCAAATAATATCAAAATTATCCTTAAACATTCCTCTCATTGAATGCACACTCCCCACACCTCAAAAAAATCTCCCTTCCAAAAATCCCTAACAAAACCCACTAAAACGAAGAAGAGTCTCATTATTTTCAAAACTCACGAAGAAGAAGAATACTGTCTCTGCCGATTTAACCAACTTCACATCTGATATTTTTCATTGTTCTCAAATCCAAACTCTTGATTTGAGCCACAATAATCTTTCGGGGGATGTTCCAATACAAAACTTGTCTATGATTATCATAAACCTACTTAGCTTAACCTACCATACAATCACTTCTCGAAGATTAAAATTTCCGATTCCCAGTTCTTAAAACGGTTCAGTTCTTCGAGTGTTCTTCATTCTGGACTCATTCCAAATCACAAAAAGTTCAAAATCAATATTCGGTTACCGGTTCTTGAACATATAAACAATGTTCAGGCCTGTGTTCCCGAATTTCGATCATATATTCGAGAATTTCGGTCATATGTTCGGGAGTTCAATCCCAAAAAAATGACGAACATATTTTATTATTTTTGTCATTTTTTTTTAAGAAATTTACCTTTACAAGGTCAATCTCCTCTAAGTTAAGAACAACATCAAAGCTATGAAGCTCCTTTAAGCTTTTATTGTTTTACTCCTCTTGTCTTATGGAGTTGTCGTTACTAGAAAATTTTTCACTCATTGTCATAGCTGGAAAAGTGTAGATAATCAAATAGTTGCCACCGTTATGTCGAAATATTTCCGCCAAAGGGTTTTCAAGATTTTGAGGATGGATAGGTTTTGAATGTGAGATTTGGAAAAGATGGATGGATGGTGATGGAGGTGGGTGCTCTCATAAATTTTAATTCATGATGTAGTGGGTGTCTAAAGTTTAATTATGAGATGGAATGTCCCAAAATTAATGATATCCTTTGTAATAATTTTATTTGAGATTATTATTGTAATAATAAATAAATAAATAAATAAATAAATAAAACTAAAAGTTGAGAGGTTCAAAATAATTTATGGAGTGCTCATAGCAACACTTAAAAAATTTTAAGAATTTTAAAATTTATAAATGAAAATCCAAAAAATAAAAAATTTAAAAAAATTAATGCGATACGAATAGCAGCCTCTTTCTGTATAAAACACCAAAGAAATTTACAAACCCAATCCACATAGGCCAGAAGATATTTTTTGCCAGGTACTAAAGATATTTTCATTTCTTTTGGCACAATTCTGGGCTCAAGTTGTCTCAACAAAGATAGCAAGTAGTATAACACTAAATCATCACTACTTGCCATTGATAATAAAGATATACAGTTTCTGAGCTGATATCCCCATCTATGGAGTGCACCACAGTTCTCCCACTCTCTCAGCTCTCTTTTTTCCCTCCAAAACCCTGCAACAGACAAAACAGAGCTTATCCTTCAAGGCCATGGAAGCAGAGGACTTCTCAACCGACTCGTTTCAACTGTCAAAAGATGTATGTCCCCGGTGGGTATATATACAAACATACAAACCTATATATATATTTAACATATTTGAGTATTTTAGCATATCGAAGTATTTTTATGTTTTGGTAATTTGAATTAACAAGGTTTCTTGCAGGGTTTGGAGAAGCATCACCTGAAGCCAAGGCAGCCAACAACCTCCATCATTTCTTCACTTATGTCGCAGTTAGTATTGTTACTGCACAGCTCCAGGTTCCTCCTACTTGTTATGCCATGCTTGCATATGCACACAAATCTGATTACTGATTACTGGTTACTATGGTGCCATTTGCCAACGTTTACATTTACTATTTTTTGTTTATTAAAATTTTTGGTAAAAATAAAAATAAAAAGTATGTTTGATACAATCATGTTTCAAAAACTTGTTTTTGAAAACAAGTGAGAGATGTGGCCAACAGGGGGTGGTGGATAGTTGGAGATGGTGGTGAGGGGTGGTTGTTAGCCACCAGAGTTGGTGATCGGAAATTAGTGCCTGCCGCCGAGAGTGGTTTGCTGCAGGTGGGAGGTGGTTAGTGGTGGTCAGAGATGGTTGTTATCCGTGGGAGATAGTGGCCAAAAGTGATTGTTGATGGTTGGAGATAGTGGCCGAAAGAGGTTGCCGCCGGCCTGCCAGCCAATATGAGCTAATTATTAGAGGGGGTCACTGGCGATGGTGGCCAGATGTGGTGATGAGCGGTGGGTGATGGCCAACGAGGGTTGGGAGGAGGATGAAGGAATGAATTTTCTTTTTCTTAAACAAGTGAAACTAACTTTTTTGTGATTACAAGAATTTGGAAACAATTTTTAAAATTTTTGTAAATATAAACAAAAAATTGTAAACATAAACGTTACCAAAAAGGCTACCTACCAGTTTGAATAATTTCCTCCAGCAAGATAATGGAGGAGCTTATCATTGTATCCTCATTTAGAGTCATAACAGTTTATGATTCTACTATTATCAAAATGAAGTCTTCAAGGATTGGTTATATTCACTAATAAGCATGAAATTGGGGTAATGTATATTTTGGATCATTTCATCTGTAAATGGTTGCGTGACAGAGCAGAGCTATAACCCCGAGGCATATAAGGAGTTGATGGAATTTTTGAGTAGGCACTCGTTGAGTGACGGCGACAAGTTTTGTGCAGATTTGATGAGGGAGTCTTCTCGGCATAAGAGTTTAGGTATGCTAAACGGTTTTCATATCTATGTTAATCAACCTAAATCAAAACAGCTAGAACAAAAAGGTTACAATATCCTACTGACTAGTTCTGAATGAACAGATTTTTTTTCTTTTAATGAGGAAATCAAGCATATATGTAATGCTTTTCTTTATATATGTTTGATGTAATCACGAGAGATTTCAGACATGTATTCCTGGATTTGACAACTTTTTGGGAGGCCTTAAAGTTCCTTAACAGAGTTTGTATATTCCTAGAATTACAACTCCCAAACTGTATTCAACTTGTCTACTCTTCTCTGAGAAAGGGTATCATACATACCTATTTCTTTCTATCATGAAATATTCAAGTAACCATTTTTTGAATTACTTAATACTGTATTTGTACAAACAATTATGCAAATATTCCTTTGTAGCTACTAAATATTTATCTGGGGGATTGTCTAATAAACTTTTAATAGTGAAGTTCTGACTCTTGAGAATTTTGCATGTCTTGTCATCGGATATGTGGGAATTACAAATGACTATTGTGTGGCAGCTTTGCGCATATTAGAGGTCAGTTCGCACTTAAGCTTATCAACTTGTTTTAAATTTATTACATCCTTAAACTAAATAATATTAATATGGCATTGCCAACCCAGGTTAGATCTGCATATTGCAAGAATGATTTTGAGTGGGACAACTTAGAGCGATTAGCAACTAAGGTCAAGAATTCACTATCTTTGTTTTCTTGAGAGTTTTTCTCTTATTTATATATTAATGTATCTCTTTCTCAGCATTTCTAATTACATGTGTTCATTGTTTTTTTTTTTTTTGCAGAAGGTTGACGAATCCAACACGAGACTCATGAGGGATTATGTTTTGGAAACTATTCACGGGGAAAGCTAGAGCAAAAATGATGTGTGTATAATTTGTTGTAATTCACATATGCATGGAACGGATAATGGATTTTGTCATAATAAATTACAATAATTTATATTGGGCAGTTAAAGTGCTCCTGGCATACATATACTGGTTTCTCTCCTTAGAGCCATGCAATGTTTTAAAAGGCACGTGCCTAAGTGCGAGGTGCAACAAGGCACAGCCTTGCGCTTCAAACAGGTCGAAGCGAGGCGCAACTTAGGCGCTAAGGCGTGGGTTTCATGGGCTTTACCTATTTTTCTACTCCAACCTATGAAGCACAGACACCTCTCCAAAGACAGCGTATGGGTGTCCGATATGTGTTGGATACGGACATGGACACAAGTCGGACACACTACCTAACGTGTCCCTTTTTTTTTTAATTTTTCCAACTGGACACACTTGGCACATTTTCTCAGCATTTCTAATTACATGTGTTCATTGTTTTTTTTTTTTTTGCAGAAGGTTGACGAATCCAACACGAGACTCATGAGGGATTATGTTTTGGAAACTATTCACGGGGAAAGCTAGAGCAAAAATGATGTGTGTATAATTTGTTGTAATTCACATATGCATGGAACGGATAATGGATTTTGTCATAATAAATTACAATAATTTATATTGGGCAGTTAAAGTGCTCCTGGCATACATATACTGGTTTCTCTCCTTAGAGCCATGCAATGTTTTAAAAGGCACGTGCCTAAGTGCGAGGTGCAACAAGGCACAGCCTTGCGCTTCAAACAGGTCGAAGCGAGGCGCAACTTAGGCGCTAAGGCATGGGTTTTATGGGCTTTACCTATTTTTCTACTCCAACCTATGAAGCACAGACACCTCTCCAAAGACAACGTATGGGTGTCCGATATGTGTTGGATACGGACATGGACACGAGTCGGACACACTACCTAACGTGTCCCTTTTTTTTTTAATTTTTCCAACTGGACACACTTGGCACATGCTTGGACACGTCGTGGTCACGTTAGAGACAGAGAGAAAAACCCTAACTCATTGAATACGGAGAGAGAGAAATCCTAACTCGTTGAATACAGAGAGATAAAAACCCTAACTCATTGAATACACAGAGAGAGAGAGAGAGAGAGAGATGGGTGAAAAAGAACCTGTTGAAGCCCTAAATCGAGGTATGTTCTTCGAATCTGTCTTCGTTTCTTCAAACCTGTTATCCGTTCTTCTTTTCTTCTTCGTTTTTCTTCTCCTTTTGTTCGTCTCTCTCTCCCTCTCTCTCTCTCTCTCTCGACTTTGTCTCTTGCTTGTGTTGAACTCATCGACTTTACCTCTTCGACTCTCTCTTGTTTGTGCGTGTTCGTCACTCTCTGTCCTCTGTTCTAATCTTTTTTTTTTCCTCTCTGTGCCTAATATTATATAGGGCAAACTTCACTTTACCCCCCTATAATTTAGGCCATGTGCGGATTACCCCCTGACTTTCGAATATCACCATATAGCCCCCCTGTGGTTGATGGAGTAAAGTGCACAGTTACCTTTTCCATCTATTCTACCAGGCTGTGCAACACACATGCCTAATATGCAAATGGGCATGAAAATATGATTTTTCCTCCGAATTGAATGACTAAAATGCCATTATTGTTGTCATCAATTTCCAAAACCTATTCTCATCTTCTTCCTCCAACTCAAGGCCAAGAACAATGAATAAAAATTATAGAACTTCTGAAAATCAAAACCCCCCAAAAACTCAAAACAAAAACCTAAATTAATTTAAACAACATAATTTGTAGCTATATATATATGTTAGGAATATGGTACAAAAATATAACCTATAGCTATATATATGCATATAATCTATAGCTATATATATGTATATATATAATCTTCTTTGATTTCTCTCCAAATTATAATCTGTAGCTATAATCTTCGTTGATGATAATGCTCACCAAAAGCATCAACAAAGGAGAGGTATAGAAAAGTGTATATAATCTATAGCTATATATATGTATATATATATATATGTATGTATATAATCTTCTTTGATTTCTCTCCAAATTACAATCTGTAGGTTTAATCTTTGTTGATGATGATGCTCACCAAAAGCATCAAGAAAGGAGAGGTATAGAAAAGTGATTGGAAGCTAATCTGCGCACAAACCCACCTAAAAAAATAAAAAATGAAATACAAAACAAAAAACAAACTTCTTAGATCTGCAGGTTTCTCTCTAGCTTCCAAGACTCCAAGATTCCAAGACTGCCAGAGCTCATCCGAAAAACCTCTATACCCAATCGTAGATCATCAACATTCCCAAATGCAAACAAAATTTACAAACCTACTTCAAACTTTCACTGATATATATATATATATATATATAGAGAGAGAGAGAGAGAGAAAGAGAGAGAGAGAGAGGGAGGTAGATGATGAGCTTGAAATGGGTTGAAACAGTAAATCAATGCTAGTCCATCTTCTTTGATTTCTATGTATATATATATGTCTATATGTATATAATCTATACCTGATTGCTCAGTTTTCACTATCTGCTTTGCTCACAAATCAAAAGCGACTTGGACTTGCGATTTCTTATAATGGTTTCATATATTTTACCATAAAAGTAAACTTCATGGTCGACCATGTTAATTTCTTGGTACATCATTCAGTTTCTTAAAATCAAACCTCAAGATTATCACCAGGTTCAATTAAAGCCGTCAGGACACAGTTCTCACTATAGAAATTGGGGCTTTACAGCAAAAATATTTTACTCATCTAAAACTTTTCATTTTTGTTAAATTTTGATTTTTGTGATTTTGTTCAATCATACAACCTAGTTCTCTCCCCTTTCCTCTTCTCAGATGCACGACTGTTGGAAGTGAAATTGGTAAGGTTAGATATATATATATAAGGGCAAATTGATCTTTTTACGTCTGCCATTAACGGTGTTAACTGTGCACTTTACTCCATCAACCACAGGGGGGTTATGTGGTGATTTTCGAAAGTCAGGGGGTAATCCGCACTTGGCCGAAACCATAGGGGGGTAAAGTGAAATTAATATATTTTTTGATTTTACATATAATAAATAAATAAAATTATATATATTAAGTGTGTCCCCAACGTGTTGTGTCCCACATGTTTTGAAAATTTGCGTGTCCACATGTCTGTGTCATGTCTTGTGTCCTGTCCATGTATCATAGACTCCAACTGTTGATGAAGTGTTTTTTTGGGCATACTCACAGGGAATCAAAACTCTTTAATATAAAATGACCAAATATGGTCAAAAGAGAGCAGAAAGTGATTAAAAAAAAAAAAAAACCTAGGTGGAGAATATTAAAAAAAGCGATCAAAAATTGAGAAGACGACACGACTTCAGCTTCTTCTTTAGGTTCTTCTCTTCTTCGTTGGTAATCTTCTTCTCTTCTTCGATAGTTTCTCTCGGTTGGGTTATCTCTCTACCTTTGTTTTTGTTTTTGTGTAATTTTTTTTTTTTTCTTCTCGTCTTCAATGGGTTCTCTTCGTTGGGTCTACCTCTGTTTTTTTCTTTCTTTATTTTTCTTCCCTTATTTTTTTATTTTATTCTTCTCTTCTTCTCCTACTTCGTTGTGTTATCTCTCTGTTATGTTTGTGAAGTTGTGCATGCGAAAAAGGTGGCTTGTTTCTCCTCTGTTTCTTTTAATGCAACTAGTGCTCATTCCTCCGTTTCTTTTTATGTGAATCATCTTAAAGCTTGAGGTTTTTTGGTGGATGTGAATGTGAATGTGATATTTTATATCTTTTGTTGCATATTATATTTCTAACTTTTAGAAAATTGAATATTATATTTTTGGAATTCTATATATATTTGTCATGTTGAGAAGTTTGCCTATTTTATAATTTTACTTTTCTTTTACTACTTGAGCCTTGCTTTAGTGAGGTGCGTGCCTCGCCTCACGCTTAGACTATAAGAGACTTTATCGCCTCGGTGTGCCTAGAGCTTTTTAAAACATTGGAGCCATATAATGGCCCCGTTTGGTAGAGTTATGGGAAAGTGATTATAGATTATGGCTTAACAGATTATAGATTATAGCTTTAAATATAAGTTAACCTATTTGGTGCAGCTGTGGGATTATGAATTTAATCAACAGAGTAGTGTTTGGTTGAATAAGCTGTAAAATAGCTTTTTGCTATGTAATGTCCTTTTTGCCCTTCTTTTCTTATTCTTTTTCTTCATTTTATTTTATATTTCTCCTTATTTTCTTTTCTCTTCTTTATTTTTTATTTTTTCTTCTCTTAATTATTTTTATTCTGTTTTTTCCTTATTTTATTTTTTTTTTTTGTCCTTTTCTTCTCTTAATTTTTTTTCCCTTTAGTTTATAGTTTATTTTTTCAAATTAGAAGTGGTGCATGCATTGTGTGATTAAAATTTTGAAAAATGCTGAAATACCAATTAAAATTTTCAAATTATATTCATTTTAGTTTATAAATACATGAATATTAATTGATATTTTTTAATTTATTAAAAATTGTTGCAAATACCAATCAATATTTTTTTAATTTATTATTACAAAATTGTTACAAAATATACCAATTTATTAATATTTTTTAATTTAATTTATTATCAATTAATGGCTTAATTAGTATCAATTAATACTAAAATTATTAATTAATATCAATTAATATAAAATTTATTTCATTAATGGCTTAAAATGCTTTATTATTATTATTATTATTATTATTATTATTATATCAAAAAAACACTGAAAACCCTAGCTGTCGTTCCATCGGTAATCCAGCAAAGGCAAGTGCTCCGACAGCCCCTTCTTCTCCTCTCATCTCTCGCCGTTGTTCCATCGCAGACACGGAACAACACCGAGGAGAAAGAGAGAGAGAGAGCTCTGGTTCATTGGAAAAGGGAGCTTTACCGAGATCGCTTTACCGAGATCACTTCTCCATCAATCGCGATGGGGAACGACGAAGAAGGGACAGCTGCGACATGACGGCGCTATGGAAGGGTTTCAGATCGATCGCAAACACTAACATCGCCGGAGAGAGAGAGATCTGCTGCGATCGCGAAGAGAGAGAGCTAGCTCTGGTTCACTTGCAAAACCCTAACTGGCAGCCCCCAAGTCAGATCGAGAGAGAGAGAGCTAGTTCAAGAAATCACAGTCGAAAATTGCGCCGGAAATCGCCTCTCAAGTTTTCTCTCTCTGAAGAAGTGAACAGTGTTTGGTTGTGGGTTTATATATTGGTTTTTTTGGTAATAGTTGAAGTTGATAAGGGGCATTTTAGTAATTTTGCCCCCCATTCCCAACTTACCGCTTAAGCTGAATCAATTAAGCACCCCCACAACTACTTCAAGAAAAAACTGATTTTTGACTTATAAAAAGCTATAATCTGTGTTATTAAGTTACACCAAACATAAAAAAAACAGCTTAAATTAAGCTAAAAGCTGAAATAAGTTGGAAAAAAGCTCTACCAAACAGGCACAATGCAAAACTTAATCACCTATGGGCTATTTATTGGAAAAATAAATAAATAAGTTCCTACATGATGAAAGCAAAGAACCAATTCTAGAAGTGATCTAACAAATTTATTGCATTCTTGTCCACCATGAAGAAAAAGTGATCAATCAAGTCCCTAATTTTATAATTGGTTTCATCTGATTATATTATAAGCATAAAATGCTGCAATCTCATTAGCAATGTTTACAAATGCCTCTGTTCACATGTAAGAAGTGCCTATCTTTAATAGTGTGTCCATCCTTCTGCTAAAAATAATGAATAAAGGTTGAAAGTTATGTCTGCTTAGGAACAAATTTTATTACGGTTAATTACACTTTTAACCCCTATAATTTGACTTAAATTTCACTTTGGTTCTATAGTTTTAAATTGCACAATTTGATCCCCACACTTCAAATCCTATTTCAATTTGGTCTTTCCATGCAAATTGGAGGCTAAAGTTAAAGATTTTGAGACATTTGTAGTCTCCTAAGGTGTACACGTCAGAAAAATTAATGAAAATTTAGACAGAAGGACCAACTTGAAACTGGATTTAAAGTGTAGGGACCAAGCTGTTCAATTTAAAACTATAGGGACCAAAGTGAAATTTGAGTCAAACCATAAAAGTAAAAAGTATAGTTAACCCATTTTATTATTAAAAAAAAGGGTTACACAGTGAGTCTATTGTTTTTCTCAGGCCATATATGCTTCTTCTCTATAAGTGAAGAGTTCCTACAATATACGTTCCTACAGAAATTATGGTCATACAAAAAATTAGTATTTAAGCAGATGGCACATAACCTAGTGATGTATTCTTTGTACAGTACAACAACATGAAGGGAAACCAGCTTAACAGGTTGTATTTCATTAAAGAATGGGATATAGTTACACTATATCTAAGCACATCACAATCTCTGTGCAGTTGTGAATTTGAGATCTAATTTTTACAGTAATAAGTTTGATATCCTTTACCTATCCATATGTTACCTCAATGATGAGATAGAAGATAAATTATCCATCATTATTTGCCCCGTTGATGCCTAATCCTTTATTACTTCATTGTCCTTCACTGGCTGCAAACCAGAGCAAATAAGGAAGAGTATTATCACACACACACACACACAGAGATGGGATGAGCCCAGCATGCATATAAAACTCCCTTTTTTATAAGCAGAAGATTACCTCAACAATGTGACAAACATCACAAGAAGCATGGATTTGCCCTGTATTAACATATGACTGAGCATTCTCTTCAATATTCTCCAACCTGCAATTACACAGTTCAATATATTTCAAGTTGTTCGAGGTAAGGAATGTAAGAATTTATGTATGAATTTATGTATTATTGATTGATTGTGTGTTTATATTCTGTATATTACAAATGGTTCCTTATATAGATGTAGGTGTAGTGGATAGTGGTGGTAGGTGAGTGTAGTAGGTGAGTGTGTGGTAGGTGATGGTAAGTGTGTGATAGGTGATGGTAAATTTTAACAGCCCCCCGCAAACCCAAGGAGGATAAACTAACCAACTTGGGTTTGGAGAGAGTAAAAACAGAAAATACATAAAAATAAAAAAGGATGGAGACACTGTATGGTTGTGTCAGACCATTGGTTGAAGACACTGGATGGTGGTGCCAATAACCGTTGTAGAGGACACTGGATGGCGGTGTCAGACCGATGTAGAAGACAGTTTATGGGGTCATGTCGGACCGTGTGTCAGCAGACAATGTTGTGACAGTTGTTGTGACAAGGTTACGGAGTCATGCTGGCCTTTGTAGAAACTAACCGGAATCAATGTCGGGACAGTGTTACAGAGTCTTGTCGGACCCCTAAAAAGTTGCACCCTTAAAAGGTGCGCCAATCTTTTTAAAAAAAGGCGTGCCATCAAAAGGTGTGCCCAATTCATTCAAAAGGCGATGCCACAAATAAAGGCTCCATTCAAAAGACGTCCATCAACAAGGCGCGCCCATGGTTGTCGGCGAGCGATCGAGCGGCGCATTATGCGCGTGTCTGCCTTTCGGCAGGGTCTTTATAAATCGAAGCGGAGGCTGAGGCTTGGAAGCATTAACAACCAGTCTGAAACCTCTGAACCTTTGCAGTCTGAAACACTCTGTAAACACTCTGCTACCAACTCGTCTCTGAGCAACACTCAGTAACATGGCTCTCTTCTTCCCGTCCAGCTAACAGAACATGGCCTCCTCTTACCGTGGGCTGCTTACGCTCTTTCCAGAACTGAATGAGTCACAAGAGAAATAACTGGTGCGTGGCCAGTGAACCTCAACAAACAACTCTTGTGTTTGCTCCGTTGACTTTCCGATGCGGTCGGTGGAGGCAAAAAATGGCGGTGCAAACTGATATTGAGGCCAATCAGTATACTCTGAAGTCATGCGTGGAAACCATGACTGCGGTCAAAATTTGTCGCGACCGGCTGCAGAGCAGGAAAAATGAGGTGCACAGTTAAACTCCAGCTGGCTTCTGCTCCAAGCATGTATAAGGATGCGCGAGCAGAGATAAGTGTGCTAAAGGCAGAAAACAAGGAGCTGAAGCGGAAGGCCACCGTGATGTTCCGATTCGGAGGTCCGCATATGGGCAGTGGAGGAGCAGGAGAGGAGGCAACTTGCTGGTGGTCTAGGAAGCACGGAGGCAACACCGTCAAGGGCCGCGCAGGACGGAGCAGAGAAAAGAGACCAGCGGCAGAGTAGGTCGGTGGGTGCCGTCTAAGAAAAGAAAACAAATCTGTTGGTGTTGTGATGGTGATCTTGTGTGGGTTTTTTTTTTTTTTTTTTTTTTTGTAACTGATGATCGGGTTCTGATCTCCTGAGAGGAAAAATAAAGTAAGGTTTAGTGTGTAAATCTTTATCACACGGGATTGGTGAAAGAACAACCAATGTTGTTTGGAATCTATTTTTTTTTTATTTTTAAATTTTTTTGTTTATTTTTTTTTTTTAATGAAGAATAATAATAATAATATAATAATAATAATAATAATATAATAATAATAATAATATATTTAAGGTTAGAAACGTTTGGATGAGGAATTGGTCAGGAGCGGACGAGGTAGTGCAAAAGAGTAACAGAAGATTAGGTTGGAAAAAAGTGAAGCAAAGTAGTGGGTGAGGCTAGTGGGTGTCCTTGAGTGGAGAGAGAGAAGTGCCTGAGGCTATCCACAGAACCAAGGGTGTCCACCTCACTCTCAACCAACTCACTCATTTCCTTCTGTTTATTTTCAAGCAGGAATAATAGAATAAGAGTACAATCGCCGGCGAGGAGCCCAGGGGGCAATTTGAAGTTGAATGCCGTACATAATCGTATGTGCCCAGAGACAAGCGATGGTTGTTTTTGGATATCGAGTCCTCAGCCAAAGCCTGGCCATCCCAGCTCCATGTAGCAGAGGCGCACCATATGGTAAGGGTTTTCCTTTCTCTCAACTTCCAACCATAACTACCCTGAGTCCAAGAGATTGATACGTCTTTGCCCATCTTGCCTGTTTGATTAGTAGCAGCACGATGAGGTATCGATTTGACGACAGTGAAAGCCAGAGGATGATCGTCGGCTTGTCGTTGCATCGTAGATGTCCTCGTAGACGACGAAGGCCGGGGCCACGCTGGTGTCTTTGTTGGTGCCGATGCGAATCCTGGCGAATGGCGCCGCACTTGCGAGCGATAGCGTACATTCTCTTTGCCTGGAGATGGTGAAGCGGAAGGTGTCGGAACGATGAGGTTGGCCATGCCGAAGGTGGCGCGATGGTGCCGGTAGTCTCGAAGAAATTTTTAAGGTATGTGTACAAATGTCCGTGTCGGGTTAGGTTGAGGTCGCCGGCGGACGTAAGGTGAGGTTGCCATGCCCGCCGGTGAAAGCGAAAATATTAGGTCTATAACCCCCTCTGATACTATGTAAGAATTTATGTATGAATTTTACGTATTATGTCTGGACATTGTGTGTTTAATATCTGGTATATTACAAATGGTTCCTTATATAAGATGTAAGGTGTAGTGGATGGTGGTAGTAGGTGAGTGTAGTAGGTTGAGTGTGTGGTAGGTGATGTGTAAGTGTGTGTAGTGATGGTAAATTTTAACAGGAATGTTTCCTTAATTAAGTGAACAGAAACATTCCGTCCACTTATAATCACTATAAAGGATTTATCTAAGTAAAAATTCATAACCAACAGATAACTACAAAAGCAAACATTCACTTAAAATGTCCGAGCAGTAATAACATCACTTTCTTCAAACCAAATAGTATTATTATTTAAGGGGGCATGCTATATATCACCTCTTTTTTTCACCATTTTGTATCACCTGGCGCTACTTGGCAAGATATTCGTTTTGCTTTTCTTAATTCCTAATATTTTCTTCAACCAAGGAAACCAATTCATGATGGATCCCATGTAGACGCGATACAATGATGATAAAAAAATGGGTGAATATTGCATTTCTCATTATTTAATCATAACATTCCCAAGATTAGAACAGCTCCTGGGGACAATAGAATTTCTCAGGGGGAAATTTTTTTTTTTGTTTTTTTTTTATTAATCCAGTGGAGTATACTCATATGAATAACTACACATTGCCAAATTACCAAATGTGGATAACTCAGTTCTCAATTGCAAAACTGATGAAATGCTAACGAAAGGAAGAACATTTTACTCTTCTGGACAGTAAATTTACTAAGATATAATTTAACCCATAATTCCTTCCACTGAAGAAGACCTTTCTCTGAATCGATCTGCCATCCAATTAAGTCTTCCAACCATCTATGTCAACCAAAGTACGAATTTTGGGTTTATTGACCAGTAGTTAGGCTCTTTGATGATTTGTAACTCAACCAAAATATTATATCTAAAAGAACGCCTTAAGAAGAAATGATGATAACCTCATTAACAGATGGTCAAAGATAATAGTTATGCCAAGAGACCAAAACAATTCTTTCAAATTTTCTTTAAATAAGCTCAGTGTTGTATATATCCATCGAACGTTGAAATTTCAGATATTCCAATAAGTATGCATTGCATGAAATGAAAATTAAAGTCCACAAGTTATATAGCAAGTGAAATTGTAATTGCCAAGAAGGAATGAGCTGTCAGTTACGGTGCACAACATAACCGCTCCATTCTGTAAGTGGATTATCAGCAACAGATATCTAGTGCTTTTCCCTCTCTTTCTTTTTTCCTGCAGAAGATTACCTTACCTGTATATCAATAAGAGAAATAATATATATTTGGAAGGGAAGTTAGGAACTCAATGAATTTACATTTATTTTGTGTTGGTAAATTGAATAAAGAATTTCAGAAATCTTAAATAAATAATAGAAATGTGATGCATACAGGCTAGTTATATAATCATCTTTTCAGTTTTCATACTTAACTAGCTTCTTTCCTGCTACATATATCCACATACTGATGCCTGGATGGCCCTGCCACTGTCAAAATCTCTAGTTTCACTTGATCTAAAAGGCAAATAAGTAATGGTTTACTTTACGTTGAAGCATTTTTGAATTAAAAGTATTTGTAGTATATTTCCATAAAAATTATCAAGCTTTTTTTTGTTTCAAATTCATGATCTTTCCTC